TCATCAGATAATTTTCAAGAATTTTTCAAATCGCATGTTTTTATCCAGGTTGAAGTTTGACTATTGTATTATTTGATTAGAAATTTGCAAAATGACAGAATTACTTTTGAACCACATTTACAGAGCATAGTCCGCGTAAGACGAAAATGTTTCGATTTTGCCTCATTCTTTAGGAATTTCTTAAGATTTTAAAAATTATTTTTTGTTTGTTTATGTAGAATCGAGTTCAACAGTTATTGTTTCAGAACCCACTTAAGTTAGACAGTGACTTTTGTAGGGATTTTGTTGTCCATACTCTCTTTTATGCGTGGCAAAAGTTTCGATTTTGTGTCATCATCAGGCAATTTTTGACAATTTTTCAGGATTGCGTTTGGTTTAGGAACTTGTTTTTGCAGGCCGGAGTTTAGCATTATTTACTCACGAACGTGCCCAGTCATAACGTAAATTTTGCATGGATTTTATAGCGCAAAATGATTTCTCTGAGCGGACAAAGCTATTTACAGTCATTATCAGGATTTTTTTTCCATATTTTCCAATTTTTCCAAAAATGCGCTTGGTTCATCGAGGTGTTTTTGGAGGCCGGAGTTTCTCATTCATTTATTCAGGAACTAACAAAGCAAGATGGTTTTTGCATGAACTTTGTAGGGGAAAGTATGTTTTATAAGGCACAGAAGCTTTGATTTTCAGGCCCTGTGAGGCAATTTTCCAAAATTATTCAAAATTGCGTCCGGTTTTCGTGTTGGTTGTTGCCAGACGGAGTTTTTATTTCCTCTCCAACTCACTAAGTCCGAACGTCAATTGTGGATGGATTCTGAAGCGCAAACTCCCTTCCATAAGTTAACAAAGTTTGGATTTTCAGCCATCATCAGACAAAAAAATTCGTTTTATTTAAGAGGATGCTTTTTTGGCATTTATTTATGCAGGATCTAACGAAGCGAGATACTCATCTTTGCATTCGTTTTGCAGGGCAAAGTATGTTCTCCTAGTGGAAACTGTTTCGAATTCCAGCCACCATCAGGCAATTTTCAAGATTTTTTTAAATTTCATGTGGTCTTCGCAGACATTCAACCAGGAATTCTGGAATTTAGGAATTTTTAAAAATTATTTCAAATATTTCACGCTTTTCCATGCAGTTTCAATTCGACTTAAGGAAAAGGTTCAATTCCACTTAAGATATAGAGTGACTGTTGTACGGTTTTTATTTGCCAATAGTCTGTTTTATGAGTTCGATTTTGAGTTCGATTTTGAGTCCTCATCAATCATCATTTGTTTGACATTATTGATCATAAGTTTGACATCATTTTTTCAAAAACGAGTGAAGTTGCAGGTGTAAAGCCGGTTTTATGCATAGGGAAGATGCAACTTTACTGAGCAAAAGTCGTTGAAACTCGCATTTGCTCAAAAAACACCACTAAGAAAAGTGGTTGGTAAAAAGATCGTCTACAAAGTGAGCACATTGTGAACTTGAAGAGCTCGCCGCAAGGGTACAAGAAAATCCTATTGAATGGGAAAAACTAGTTGGTGTCTAGCATTTCCTAGACATTTGTGGGCACTTACCCGAAAAAATGCTAGCTATAGCTGCTATGATAAAGCTGATGACCACGCCCGGGCCAGCGACGTTTTTTGCTACCATCCCAGCCACCAGATACATTCCGGTACCTACGCAACTCCCCACTCCTAGTGACGTCAGGTCCAAGGTGGTCAAGCATTTCTGCAAAATTAACTGTTTTAGCCTCCTGTTAATCAACCGGGTGTCCATTTGATGCCGTTGCAATCGAGTTTTTTGCTGAAAACGTACTGGAAAATGTGCTTTCAAAGATTAAGTGCCAATCGCAACTTGGCGCAGTCGGCAGCACACAATTTCCAGCCAGAACAGTTCACGAGTTAAAATCATCCTGTACTTAAGCACGCCATTATGTTCCGTCACGTGGACTCCCATTTAATCCATTTAACCCATTTAGCTCGATTCGTCCTCTCTTTAGGGCCTTTTATTGTAGCCGGTCGGAAAAATCGAATCAATTTGTCCTTCTGACAGTGCGAAACAGCCGTAGTGGCACTTACCGTAAGTTTCTGTTTTCGGTCGTCGGATCGTTCCGGGACGGTTTCCTGCAAACCGTCGACGTTTTTTGTGCGAATTAACTTGCTGAACAGGACCAGTCCATCCCTGCGGAATTGTTCTCGGTCTGTGGGCAGAAAGCCTAACTTCATTCTGGAACAAGCCATACACCGCATTACATTGGGGAGTGGAAAATCGAAGCCGATCTGGATACATCGGATATGTGCCGAATTACTCGTGAGACTTTGCAGGAAATTGCCTGCAGGGCCTTGATTTACTACAGCCCGAAGGGCATTGATGTGCACAAATTTATGACTGTGTTGATAACAGTTCCTAGACATTCCTGGTAGTTCGGGCGCAGTCGGTAGGACAGTTAAAACCTGAGCAGGGCTTGCAACGGCTAATGAATTCTTGTTGTGAGGTGCGTAAATGGGCCAAAGCCTAAATATCGAGATGATTGATAAAAGCCCTCGAATTCGATAGGAGTCAGCGCCTCGTCAATGGCATTCAAACAGGTTGCGTCGGGTGAAAAGTAGGCCAAGCCATATACGTCAATAATAAAAGAAGGCGGAGAGAAAACATGATTACAATAATTAATTGAAAATTAACAAGCAGGTTTTGATAAGTTTTTTCACTATTTTTCCTGTCCTCCCTAAACACCCCGAGGGGAATACACGGGGATCGAAAAATGCGTTATAGAATTTTTACGAGTGATTCTACATGCTAAAATAATGATAGAAAACTTATAGTGTCAAAAATTGGAAATCTGAATATTTTTCGAGTTACAGCTCATCCAACTAATTTTTTTAAAACATTTCTTTGCAGATTCAATTCAAAATCGGTACAGAGTGTTTTATAGTGATCTCTAACTGTCTGATCAAAATTTGTTTTTCGACTTTGCCACTAGATGGCACTTTACCTATAATCCAATTTTCATTTGCCGCAGATCATTTTCGAACCGCCGAATATCACAAAAAGGAATATGTCATCATAAACGTGAGAAAATACTAGACAGAAAATGTGCTCTTCACACGACTTGAGAAACCTCTTGGTTTAGGAGAAAATCGACATAAAAGTTTGTATTGAATTGGAATCCCAGCAAATCATGTCATCTGGTTTTGAAGTGTGCCAAATTTGACATTTTGTAGTAATTATTGAAATTACCGTTCAATGTAGACCGAAGTTTTGAGCTTTAAAACTACTAAATCAAAATGGATCGAGAATATTGAAATGTGGCATTCAAATGCAGCACAAAAATTTTGTCTAAAGGCTCGTTCAGACGGTGACATTGACATGTGACACTACCGTCACGCCACTATGACATTGAGACATTTGGGTGTTCAGACAGTGACATTTTTGGGGCATTCACGTGACGACATTGGATGTCACCACATTAATGTCACCGTGTGAACGAGCTTTAAGGCTCTGGACAAAAAAAATATTTGTTCTCTGCTTTGGTACATTTGCCTAATATTTCTGTGATGTTTCACTTGCGTTGTTTAGGTTGCGATTTCCGTGTCGGGCTTCTGTTACTTTTTTTATTGGTGGTCTAAGTTTCAATTAGTTATTTTCATTTGCTTTATTTAATGTTTAATGCGACCACGAAAATTAATTTTCAAGTGTTTGAGTTCATTCTTCTTTAGCCACTTGCATTTAGGGACACTTTTTTCTGTATTAATTATTGAATTTTCTCTAGTTCTAAGAGTTTGTCTAAACTGAAAAATTGCACATTTTTCTACTATTTGATTCTTAATTTCATTTTTTATACGCAGTATTTGTATGTGGTTCTGTTCCCATCGATTCCTACATAAATTTGTCAAACCTTTCGTCACAGCATTTTTTTTCAACAATTTTGTATTGTCATCGTCGCAATTATTTCTCAGTCTTCGTTTCTCATCTGTTAACTTAAAGTGAAATTTAATATTAAAACATTTTTCTTTCAGTCCAGCACAGTTTTTTTCACTGTTCTCGGTTTTAATACATTTTTCTATTATTTCTGTTTAACTTCACTTGCGTTGTTTAGGTTGCGATTTCCGTGTCTGGCTTCTGTTACTTTTTGTATTTGTCGTTTAAGTTTCAATTAGTTATTCGCATTTGCTTTATTTAATGTTTAATGCGACCACTAAAATTCATTTTTAAGTGTTTAAGTTCATTCTTCTTTAGCCACTTGCATTTAGGGGGTCTCTTTCCTTCTGTATTTATTATTTATTTTTCTCTAGCTCTAAGAGTTTGTCTAAACTGAAAACATGCACATCTTTTTACGATAAGATTTTGTATATATAGTTTTTGTATGTGCTTCTGCTCCCATCGATATCTACAGAAATTTGTTTGAAGAAGCATTTTTTCGTTTTTTTTGAACAACTTGTTTTGATGATGATCAAGTCGATATTACATATTGGGGTTCTAAAACCCCCTGCTGACTTGATTCTAAAAGTGATCAGTCTACGTAGTTTTCCATTGATCGACCGAATAGAAATATCCGGATATGGCGGCTCTAAAAGTAATAAACCCCCAGCAACACCATTAAAGCCGTCTAGCTTGAAGCCGTTTCGGTATTATTAGAAAATCGATCCAAAAATGTACCCGCACGCAAATTGCGGCAGCTTGACCCATCCTTGATCCACTTCGTGTTTTTATCCCAACATTTCCGGTGCGTGGAACAAAAGCAATTGAAAAGTTCGACATTCGGCCCTTCTGTGCTTCATTGGCCCTCACGTCCGACCCTCAAAAGTCCCCAACAAGTATTCCTGCCTCAAAGGGCGCCTTGCTAGAGGGAGGTTTGGGTTTTTTGCCATCTTCACCTGTTTTGCCCATTCATCTCTTCCAGCGGAAAGTTTCCTGTCGCTCTGGCAGGATGGTAATTAGCTTTTGTGGTTACGGTTTGCTTGTCGTTGGAGCTTCCAGATCAATAAATCTTTTTCGGTGGTTCTTTTGGAGCAACAGGTCGAGGCCTCAAAAATGATGTATACAATTGACAAATTGCTTTCGACTGATTGGCTTCGTGCCAAATTTTCCCAAATACACCCACACATAAAGTTTCCACAGATAATTTTTTTTAGCTGAAACAATTCCATTAGAGCTCCCGGTCTAAATTGTGCACATTTGCTCATAAATTCGCTTGTGGCAAACTGGCGCGGATTCAGGGCTGAAATTTGGAATATTCGCAACAAACGCTTGGAAATTTTATTTTGGATTGGTTGATTTAGTGATTTTAGCAGCAATATTGTCAAAAGTGTCTTTTTTTCGCACACTCTGCAACGTCAACTGAACACTTTTGATTTATAATGTTAATTTTTTTTTATTTAATTAATTCGTGAATCAGACTTTCATTCATAAAGTGCATTTCTCAATAAATTCATTTCTGCAGTCTGCAGTTTTGCGCTATAAATTCACGTGAAGCAATCTTGGGCAATTAGAAAACGAAATTTTTGAATACTTGTGAAGCTTAGAAGGTTTCGTTCTATTCGGATTCTCACAGATTTTGGAGCAATTTCGGAAATTTCGGTTAAATTCTGGAATCAATCTTGGGTTTCTTTTAAAAATTCAACGCGAGCAATCTACGACAGTTAGAAGGCAGAAATTTTGCATTCTTGTAAAAG